ACGATACCACTGGTCACGCTCACACGGTTCGAGGTCGATAAGGGCGACGTCGGGTTCTTGGTATCGACCTCCCTCCTGGGGCTGTGTACTACGTGACAGGGCGTCGGGGACGATATGAAATTGTCCCTTACGATGTGCGATCTCAAACGAGAATTGTTGTAATCTGAGGATCCATCTGGCGAGGCGACCTGTTGGGTTTTTCATGCGAAATAAGTATAGCAGCGAGTGGTGATCAGTAACGACAGTGAATTCCGACCCCTCCACATATGGCCGGAACTTCTCTATGCTAAAAATGACGGCTAAACACTCGCGCTCCGTAACCGAGTAATTCCTCTCCGCTTTAGATAGCGATCGGCTCGCAAAGCAGATTACCTTCTCCTCACCGTTTATTACCTGTGTCAGCACACCACCTAGACCCGTATCCGAAGCATCACATTGTACTGTAAAAGGCCGAGAAAAATCTGGAGGCGACAAAACTGGGGCTGCAATTAGAGCTTCCTTGACGGCGGTAAAAGCTTTCTCCGCTCGGTCGTCCCACAACACTTCTTGTTTCTTCTTCCTCCCTTTTAACAGGTCGTTCATCGGAGACACCAGCGACGAAAAATTGGGGATGAAGCGGCGATACCAACTACAGAGTCCCATGAAGCGTTTGATCTCCGTAGCATTCCTCGGACGGGGATATGAGGACATGGCGGAAACCTTCTCGGGGTCGGTACGCAGGCCTTCCGCGTCAATGACATACCCAAGATAGCGGAGGGAGGTTTGGAAAAATTTACTTTTTTCAACGTTGATCGTTAATTTGGCTTCTCTAAGTCGTCCTCTTATTTCCCCTAACAGGCGACAATGTTCTTCAAAGGTGGAGGTGACCAAAATGAGATCATCCAGGTAAACGAAGATGTTTGGTTCAAACTGTGGACCAAACAATGCATCCATCAAACGCTGCTGGGTCTGGGCGGAGTTTCGTAGTCCAAAGGGCATAACACAAAATTGGAAAAGACCTCGACCGTGTACCGCAAAAGCCGTCTTCTCTTTTGAGGCTTCATCTAATGGAATCTGCCAGAAGGCCTTCTTCAAATCTAAAGTAGTGATCCACCGCGCATCGCGTAGAAGATTCAAGATCCGGTCTATCCTGGGAAGCGGATACGAGTCGTGCTTCGTCACGCTGTTTAGTTTCCGACCGTCAAAGCAAAAGCGATATTCCCCGGACTTCTTCTTAACTAGCAGCACTGGCGAACACCATGGGCTCTGGGACGGCTCAATGACGCCAAGATTAATCATCTCGTCAATCTCTTTGTTCAAAATGCCTTGAAGATAGGGTGACAGAGGGTATTGGTACTGTTTAAAAGGTGGTGAGTTGCCTGTATCGATGGACAACGACAGCTTATCTGTTCTTCCTAATTCGGGGCCGCCAATTTCTCCAAACATTGTGATAACCTTCATCATGCGGGCCTCATGAGTGGTATCTACTACCCCCGTGTCAGGTCCAAGAGCGCATATTTGGGGTAACGATTTTACCTGGGCACTACATGTGTGGGTGAGATAATCTATTTTTACCGCGAATTCATCACAAAAATCATTCCCTAGGATCAATCCTACCGCTAGGGAAGGAACGTACAAAGCCGATAAACTTCTGGTGACGGAATCAAACAAAACATCCAGTGACAACTCACAGTCAACAACATGTGGTTGTCTGTCGGCAGTGCGAACAAACCGATACCTAGATTGGCGCTTTACTACGCGAGGGTGGTCTAACAAGAAGGAACATCTCGCACCGATGACAGACTTAGTAGCTCCCGAGTCTAGAAGGGCGGTCAACGCTGTCTGGCCGAGACGTACCCCGATACGTGGTCGATGATCGTCCTTGTTGTCCAGGCAGACCGTATTAAGTTGAGTCATTGTCGGCGACCTACAAAAAGCTCTGACAAAATCGAGCCAACGGGTCCACTGTCGAGGTGATTCGCTGGTCTTGATAAGGGGTGCGTGGTTACGACCAGCCGGAACGGCGCCCCTACCTAGTTTTTTGGCTGACAATTAGTGCAGTCCGCAGTGATAACACCTTTAGTCCCGCACTTGTAACAAAAACGCGTACGCTCCTGGGTGCAATACGCATGGAAATGATTAAGTTCCCCGCAATTATAACACCTCACTCGTTCTTCAGTCTGGGAACTGACTTTCGCAGGCCTACCTGCTTTCCGGAAACGATGTTTGCCCTCATTCTTCGGTTTATCTAACTCCTCTCTAGTTGACGACGTACTCTCAGGCGACGCTGAAGGACCTACTGCATCCACCAGTGATAACCCTGGTCTTACAGAAGAAATTGGGGTTTTCGATATCTGTCTCGACACGGGGTGGGAAAGAGAGGATGATTCCAGCTTCTTACACAGGTCACGAAGTTGTTGTACCGTCCCGACATCGTGTAGCGCCAACGGAGTGACGTACTCGGGCCGGATCAAACGTCGTAGCCACCGAACTTTCACTTCCTCAGGAGGGGTCTCAGACAACCTACCGAAGTAGGATTCCATTAACGCGAAATAAATAACGACCTGTTCATCGTTTCTCTGAAACCGCTGTCTAATCTGGGCCCACAACACATCGTCATAGTCGCTAGGTAGAAAGTCTTTCTTGAGAGATTTTTCTAAGGAATTCCAGTCCGAAAGTCGATCACGCACAGAGCGGTACCATATAAGAGCATTACCAGAAAAGAGATCTACAGCATCACGAAATAAATCACGGGAAGACACGTTCCTGGCAACCGCTAATTCTTTAACTCGTTCAAGAAACGCACACAAATCATCGGAAGCTTCCCCTGAAAAAGTAAGGCCCCATTTGCAGACCGGAACTACCTTCGATGTGCTTTCCTTTGAAGAACCAGGAGAGCTAGGAACCCAAAGCAGAGATAAAGGACTGTAACCGGGCGAAGTGACGATGCGATCTCGCAAATCCGCCTCCAAAGTCAAACATGTCGCATACAACTCGTCTCGCACCCCCCTTGTAGTATCTAGGTCTGTCTCCGAAGTAGGCATCCGCATAATACGACCACGAACATGGTTCAATCGCGACGCAATCCGCCGACAAAGAGAGTCGGTGATGGATCCTGACTCAAATTCCAAAATCAATGTCGTTACTGACTCCAAAGTGGTCTCAATTTCGCCCCGATCAGTTTCAAAATCTAAACTCTCCACACAGATATTAAGAGGAGTACTTTTTTCTTTGAGGAACTCGTGCTCTAAGAGTCGCCGCTTTTCCTTCACGGGCCTACTAGTCCTAACACGCCTAATAAGCAACTCATATTCTACCTCGTAGTCTGACAGATAATCTACAATAATTCCTAATGCTTCCATCGCCAAACAATAGTTTGCTCTCTCTTTCAATTCGCGAAAACGCACCAGCTAGCCAAAATAATTTTAAGAACGCCCCACGTTTGAGCGCCAATTGTGTTACCTTAAAACGTCGTCTCTGCTATAAAAGCGAGGGAAGATACACTTGCCCGTGCTCACTTCCGGGAGAGCCGGTAGGTGGATCCGAGATTTTAATTCAGAATGAAAGGCTAATTATTTTGGCGAGCTGTATAATAATTAAAATATTTAGGGCTTTTAGTACAAAAAAAATATTATCTAGGTTAGTAAAAGGTAACAAAACTACAACTAATGTCAGTAACGAATTACCACAACAAATGAACTGACGAACTACTACGCAACAACGGTCTACTAGCTAGTTACAGGAAATGCTGACTATTTCACAAATAAAAAAAATTGGGCGCCATCAAATTTATGCGGGTACGTGAAAATTTGAAAAAACGTTGAAAAGCATGTAAAGAGTGAAAGAGAGAGACGCAAAAAAAACGGTTGGGTCTGGCGACAAACGATAAGAAAATTTCCGATCGCGATAAGGCGTGTTCTTTTACTCGTAGCTCAAAAAAACAGGAGTCTTCCCACAGGACGACGGCGACGCGCTGACCAAGTCCTGCCGCGGCCTGGATCCCCCGATGTTCAACTCACCAGGTCCGCGTCTTCGACGTCGCGATCATCCAAAAACTCCGGGTCTCCTAGCTGGCGCTACGCCCAGCAAATTTCCCTCGTTTCGCTGCCCTCTACGTCGCCTCTGTACGGCTCCGAAACTTCGCCCCCGGCGTGGACCCTTATACAAGGGATACGCCTCACTATCAATCTATGGAACTGAGTACTCTCAAAAAAGAAAGGAAACCATCAGGTCAAACCTCGCCAAACTCAAATCACCTCTTCTCGGCACCAACTCTCACTCTTCTCTCACTTTGCACCCCCACCTCTCGCTTGGCCGTCTCCGTCCCCGCCAGTACTACTTCGTAGAGGCAAAAAAAACTCAAAATTTGGCGGAGCTGCCGGCGACAATCCGCAATAAAAAAAGAGGTCGAGATCGGTGACAGGCGTTCGCTACGACCGATTAAAACCATCGAGCGAGACTTCGTCTAAGCCCCTTTCACCCTCGACTCCAAAAAAAAAATCGTAACAACATATTTAGAAAAAAAAGTAAAACGTAAGCCCCGCCCACCCACCCTATCTCAATTGTTATGATTTTTTCATTCGTCGTGAGCCAAGGGGGCAGAGCTCAATTGCAAAATTTTTACAAGAAATAAAAAACATGTTTTTGAGTATCGTATTGTTCAAAGAATACTATGTATATTGAGAAAAAAAAAAAAAACAAGCCAAAAATTGTAGTTATAATACCTAATCTGTTTTTGAGACAAATAGCAATAACTCTTGTTGACTTAAACGTCGAGAACTATCTTTAATAATGCATAAGTACTAACAGAAACTAGAGTGTAGAAAATGATGGCAGCTATTTAAAATATGAGGGTTTCGGTGAACAGGTAATTATATGGCTTAAATAAATTTCTTCAAGGAATGGCAGCATTGTCAAGAAATATTTTCATAAACTTAACAAACTTACTTTTTACTTTAAGAATTGAGTTCTTCCAATTACACTAACAGTTCCTTGGCTGATTTTTAAAGAAAAATAATAAATAAATATATATGTAGAATATATTAACACTTTACATTTAATTATTGATAAATTAACAACAATATGAAAGTTAGTTAATAAAATATTCTAACATTTATGTTGTAATAATAACAAAATAAAATACATTCATTCAATCATTGACTTGGGTAGTTCATAGTTTGCATTTCTCAAAATAATGTTTCTCTACTCAAATCACAACACTACGACCGCATTCTATACTCACTGATTAATGATCTCTATGAACAACGCTGTGAAAAATATCACAACAATAAGTAATTCCGCAGTTTTTGGCTTACTGTCCTTAAACTGAGAAAAGGAAAATATATAAATTATCTAATCTTCTACAGTTATGCTGCAAAAATAATATCTAAAAATAAAAGCAATCCTAAACTTACATCTAACCTCTCACTCAGTATGAGAAATGCAAAAATGCTTATCACAATCAAGAGAAATTCAAGATAATTTACTATAACTCGGTGGTGAAAATTTCTTGCGCAAAAATTTGAGAATGTACAGAGGCAAACAAGAGACCAAAGTTATAACCAAAACTTTCCAAATAAAATCTTCCGTCCGTATAAATTCCGAATCTGTAACAAACACAATTAGACTTTGTGCTAAAGTCGCCAAACCCAAACTTACCAAAATAGTCATGCAAAACGATCAACGACAAAAGGTACAATACGAGAGAGAGAAGTTCTGCTAAAATCATTAAGTAGTGCCATGTTCGTATGTTCAAGGCCACCATTATTAATTCAGTCAGGATTAACGAGGAGAAGCTGATTGCCACAATGTGAATAAATTCGTCTTCAAAGAGCAGCAAAGCCCCATACATTATCACCCCACCTGTAAAAGCACATCATTAGTAAAGAAAGTTTTTTTTTATAATTATTATTAACGTTAAGTGTGGTGTTGGTATTTGAACCGAAATATTTCTTTACGTGGTTCTAGGGGGACGGTATAAACTGCCTATGAAGCATGAATATTCAATATTCAAGTTAGTTTGAAAAACGTCCAAGTAGTGCCAAAAGGACAAAGATTACATAATTTTAAATAACTAGCAACTACGTTGTGTCACACTTACCTTGATATATGGAAATCAGGACCCACATGAAAAACGTCTTATATGATAAACTACGACCTTTTGCAAGTTCTTTATATAACTCTGGATACGTCAATGCAATTTCTGCGCTTACATCTTGATCCAGGACAAGACTGAACACCTAAAAGTAGAAGGCTTTAGAATAAATTTTACTGTTCATTCTATAGTTGAAAGAACAGTCTTTTGTTTATAAATTTTTGTAATGTCACATCCAGTAAATTTGTATTTGAATCATTCTTCTTCTACACAAAGCACGTCCAAGAAAGCATATCGGGTCAAAAATGATGTGGCTTTTTCAATTTGCTTTTCTAATTGAATTAGTATAAATCAAAGATTGCAGGAAACATAATTATATCAATTAAAAACAAAAAATTGGTGGAACGTTATTCCGACAGAACTTCCCTCGCACTTGAACTACGGTCCAACAAATCCTGCTTCTTTCAAGAATTATGAAATTTTACCTTTTTGTGATAACCTCTATGCAGTAAAAACAATATGGAAAATACTAGTCACAGTTAAGAGAGAGAAAAAAAAAGTTTCATCTTCTTAAAAAAAAAAAAAAAACTTGGGAACCCCGAGAAGGTTTCAAATTATTAAAAAACAACAGTTGGGACCCCCGAGAAAGTTCCATTCTTAAAAAAAAAAAAAAAAACAGTTGGAGCCCTCAGAATGGTTCACCTTCTTTAAAAAAAGGCAATTGAGAACCCCAAGGTTTCAAGTTCTTAGGGACCTCCGAGAAGGTTTCACTTTCCTTAAAAAAAATACACTTGGGAACCCCGAGAAGGTTTCACATTCTTTAAAAAAAAGACAGTTGGGAACCCCAAGGTTTCAAGTTCCAAAAAGACACTTCCCCCCCAAAAGGTTTCACTTTCTTTAAAAAAAAATCCACTTGCGAACCCCGAGGTTTCATATTATTAAAAAAAGACAGTTGAGACGCCCCAGAAGGTTTCAACTTCTTAAAAAAAAGATAGTTGTGAACCCCGAGAAAAAAGGCAGTTGCGACCCTCGAAAAGGTTTCGCAATATAAAAGTGGAAGAAAAAAGACAGAAACTTGGAAACCCCGAGAAGGTTTCACATTATTAAAAAAAGACAGTTGGAAGCCCCGAGAAGGTTTCACTTTCTTTAAGAAAAAGGCAGATGGGCCCCCAAGAAGGTTTCGCATTCTTAAAAAAAGAGAGTTTGGGCACCCCGAGAAGGTTTCACTTTCTTTAAAAAAAAGATATTTGGGGTCCAAGAGAAGGTTTCACTTTCTTAAAAAAAAGAAACTTGGGAACTCCAAGAATGTTTCACAATATAAAAAAAAATAAGGAAAGAAAGAACTTGAGAATCCCGAGAACGGTTTACATTATTCAAAAAAGAGTTGGGACACGCCCCAGAAGGTTTCAGAGGGTTTCAACTTCTTAAAAAAAAGACAGTTGGGACCTCTGAGAAGGTTTCACCACTTTCTTAAAAAAAAGACATTTGGGGTGCCAGAGGTTTTACTTTCTTAAAAAAGACATTTGGGGTCCCAGAGGTTTCACTTTCTTAAAAAAAAGACAGTTGGGGCCCTGAAAAGATTTCACCTTCTTTAAAAAAAGGCAGTTGGGAACCCCAGGGTTTCAAATTCTTAAAAAGAAAGACACTTGGGGCCTCCGAGATGGTTTCACTTTCTTTAAAAAAATACACTTGGGAACCCGGAGAAGGTTTCACATTATTAAAAAAAAGACCATTGGGGTCCCCGAGAAGGTTTCACATTACTAAAAAAAAAAGACAGATGGGAACCTTAAAAGTTTCATTTTCTTTAAAACAAAGACAGTTCTCAAGAAAGTTTCACAATATAAAAAAAAATTAAGAAAGAAGACAGTTGGGACCTCTGAGAAGGTTTCACCACTTTCTTTAAAAAAAAGACATTTGGGGTCCCAGTAGTTTCACTTTCTAAAAAAAAAAGAAACTTGGGACCCCCAAGAAGGTTTCACTTTCTTTAGAAAAAAGACAGATGGGGCACCCGAGAAGATTTCATTTTCTTTAAAAAAAGACATTTGGGGTCCCAGAGGTTTCACGTTATTAGAAAAAGACCATTGGGACCCTCGAGAAATTTTCACACTATTAAAAAAAAAGACAGTTGGGAACCTTAAAGATTTCATTTTCTTAAAAAAAAGACAGCTGCGGCCCTCAAGAAAGTTTCACAATATAAAAAGAGCCCCCGGGGTTTCATTCTTAAAAAAAAGACAGATCGGGCCCCCGAGAAGGTTTCACTTTCTTAAAAAAAGACAGTTGAGACCCCCGAGAAGGTTTCACTTTCTTTAGAAAAAAGACAGATGGGGCCCTCGAGAAGGTTTCACATTCTTAAAAAAAAAGACAGTTGGGAACCCTAAAGAAGGTTTCACTTTATTTAAAAAAAGACATTTCGGACCCTCGAGAAGGTTTCACGTTCTTTAAAAAAGGCAGTTGGGAACTCCAAGAAGGTTTAAAGTTGTTAAAAAAAAGACACTTGGGGCTTCCGAGAAAGATTCACCTTGTTAAAAAAAATACACTTGGAAACGCCCAGATGATTTCACATTATTAAAAAAAAAGAAAAAAAAAACAGTTGGGAGTCCCAGAGGTTTCACCTTCTTAAAAAAAAGACAGTTGGGACCTCTGAAAAGGTTTCACCACTTTCTTAAAAAAAAAAGACATTTGGGGTCCCCGTAGTTTCACTTTCTTTAGAAAAAAGACAGATGGGGCCCCCGAGAAGATTTCATTTTCTTTAAAAAAAGACATTTGGGGTCCCAGAGGTTTCACGTTATTAGAAAAAGACCATTGGGACCCCCGAGAAGTTTTCACATTATTAAAAAAAAGACAGTTGGGAACCTTAAAGATTTCATTTTCTTAAAAAAAAGACAGTTGCTGCCCTCAAGAAAGTTTCACAATATAAAAAGGGCCCCCGGGGTTTCATTCTTAAAAAAAAGACAGATCGGGCCTCCGAGAAGGTTTCACTTTCTTAAAAAAAGACAGTTGGGACCCCCGAGAAGGTTTCACTTTCTTTAGAAAAAAGACAGATGGGGCCCTCGAGAAGGTTTCACATTCTTAAAAAAAAGACAGTTGGGAACCCTAAAGAAGGTTTCACTTTATTTAAAAAAAGACATTTCGGACCCTCGAGAAGGTTTCACGTTCTTTAAAAAAGGCAGTTGGGAACTCCAAGAAGGTTTAAAGTTGTTAAAAAAAAGACACTTGGGGCTTCCGAGAAAGATTCACCTTGTTAAAAAAAATACACTTGGAAACGCCCAGATGATTTCACATTATTAAAAAAAAAAAGAAAAAAAAACCAGTTGGGAGTCTCAGAGGTTTCACCTTCTTAAAAAAATGACATTTGGGGTCCCAGAAGTTTCACTTTCTAAAAAAAAAAGAAACTTGGGACCCTCGAGAAGGTTTCACTTTCTTTAGAAAAAAGACAGATGGGGCCCCCGAGAAGATTTCATTTTCTTTAAAAAAAGACATTTGGGGTCCCAGAGGTTTCACGTTATTAGAAAAAGACCATTGGGACTCCCGAGAAGTTTGCACATTATTAAAAAAAAGACAGTTGGGAACCTTAAAGATTTCATTTTCTTAAAAAAAAGACAGTTGCTGCCCTCAAGAAAGTTTCACAATATAAAAAGGGCCCCCGGGGTTTCATTCTTAAAAAAAAGACAGATCGGGCCCCCGAGGTTTCACAAAAAAAAAAAAAAAAAAACTTGAGAACCCCGACAAGGTTTCATGTTATTAAAAAGAGTTGGGACGCCTTGAAAGGTTTCTACTTCTTAAAAAAAAAGGCAGTTGAGACCCTCGAGAAGTTTTCATTTTCTTAAAAAAAAAAAAAAAAGACATTTGGGGTCCTAGAAGTTTCACCTTCTTGAAAAAAAAAAGAAGAAACTTGGGAACCCCGTGAAGGTTCCACCTTATTAAAAAAAGACAGTTGGGACCCTCGAGAAGGTTTCACTTTCTTTAAAAAGACTGTTGCGGCCCTTGAGAAGGATTCACAATATAAAAAAAGAAAGAAACTTGGCAACCCTGAGAAGGCTCCACATTATTAAAAAAAGACATTTGGGACCCCCGAGAAGGTTTAACGGTCTTTAAAAAAGGCAATTGGGAACTCCAAGAAGGTTTCAATTTCTTAAGAAAAAGACACTTGGGGCTTCCGAGAAGGTTTCACCTTGTTAAAAAAAAATACACTTGGGAACCCCGAGATGATTTCACATTATTATTGAAAAAAAAAAGAAAAGAAAGAAAGGAAAAAAAATAAGTTGGAGTCCCCGAGAATGTTTCACCTTCTTTAAAAAAATACATTTGGGGCCCACGAGAAGGTTTCACTTTTTTGTGGGGATGATGTCATCAAATTGTTGGTGGGGTGATTATCCAAATTTTAGTTAGCATTTTAACCATCTACATGATATTTCTAATATACATGGAAAATTTGACACCAATCAATCCAGCAGATTCGAAGATTACGTGTCTAACAAAAACGGGTACAGACAGACAGACGGAAACGGGAGACTACTTTTCTAATATTGTAAGGTTCATGAAACGTCGAGAAAATACAAAAGTGGCCATTCGTCCGATGGACCCTATTATTATACTTTTAGCTTACGCACGGGAAGTAAAAATTATCAAATAAAAGCAGAAAAAGCATAAGATTTCTGTAATGATTTAGAAATCTTAAACAATAATGCTAAATAAAAATTGCGTAAATAATATTCAAACCGAAAGTGATAAGTAATTAAGTGTATACTAAACACTTGTAGCCTCTTTCTACATATATTTTATAAAACAAACTTTACCAAATGATTAAAAATTTAAATTTTGATAAAAACTGAAGCTCACAATTATTATTGAATTTTCAGACAAACAACAAAAAGGAACACTGATGATTATTCCAAACAAGAAAAATAAACCAAACAATTTTGAATAAATTTCGAACATCGCTTTGAATTGTATTTCACAACACTTCCAAACTACAAGTGTTTTTCTTGGTTCATACAATAAGAAATATGTTATGCTGTACATTGAAGTGAAATTTACTTATCAATATAGAGTAAACAGACTCAGTAAATGTAAAGGAGTTATGACAGGTCCACTTACGAATTTAATGGAAGGAAACTTTATTGGTCGTACCGTTATCAGCTTATTATCAGAAATCCCAACTCCAATAGAAGTGAATTTCTACTTCTGAAGGTTTGCGTTCACATTTTTGACAGTTCCCTTCTTCTGAATACAGTACTTACCGGAAACATCGTGTAGACGGTAGCATACCCCACCGTCAAAAATCCTTGATATAACGCAACCGAACTGAGATAAAACACGCTGCTGAAAACAGCTTGCATCGTCGAAATAATCAACCCCCTATGAATGACGAACTGAGCCAGAGACGCAGACCTCTTATAAGACCTCCTTCCGTGCACCAGTAACAGATTCGCCAAATGAGAAAACTGTGGAATACTGAAATCTCCAGCCAAACTGGCCTGCTTCCCCTCTCGCCCTTCGATCCCGATCCCCGCATCCGCCTGCTGGATCATGCTGACGTCATTTCCTCCATCTCCTACCGCTGCCGTTCGTTTCCCGGTATGCTTCTGTATTAATTGTACAACTTGAGCTTTCTGGGTGGGAGAGCACCGACAACAGACCACCGCCGGCGCGGCGGTCGCCAGCTCCATGAATTCTTGTTGATAGTAGGAAAGACAAACTTCGAGGCTTTCGCCGCTTATCACCAAAGCGCAGTCTTGTTTTCGTCGGAAGGCATTCAGTTCCAAGTGTGCGTCTGTGCGTGTGACTACTTTCTTCAGAATGTGGAGACTCTGCGTGCGCGAGACGAGGCGAGAGCTCTTCGCGATGCAGGTGGCTGTCTCGAGTTTGTCGCCTGTCAGCATCCAGATTTTAATGCCGGCGTTCCTGAGCAGTTCTAGGGTGGGTCGGACGTTGTCTTGGAGCTTATCCTCGACGCCGGTTATGCAGAGGAGCTCCATTTCGCGTTCGAGGGACTCGACCACTTGGGCGACTCGAGCCACGCGATCGGTTACGGATAAACGAGCAGCGTTGTAACGACTCTGTAACAGAATTGAACAAGGGTTAACTTTAGAAATAAGGAGAAAAACCTCATGTTTTTTATATTAATTGAAAAAGTCACTTTAGTTATGGAAGTATAAACTGGTAGATTTGCGATTGTGAGATTATACAAAAAAGTACAGGATGATTTAAATTAAACTGGGGTCAGGTCAGTTTATGTTAAGTTTTAAGTATTGTATAAACTGACAATGTGTTGTAGGTAAAACCTAACAGTTTTCGGTATTGTCAGTGTACTTATACTATTCTCGATAGTAATAACTATGTAAACGTGCAAACAGACCCCAAATGACACTGTACCAGTAGCCGGTAGAATCCCGTGCCAGAGGCGTATTTTTTAAAATTACAATGTGCCGTCAATTTAAAACTCATGTTTCACCATAAAAATAAATGTTATATAAATAACTAAGAGAAAACATATGCAATTTTTGAAGGAGAGGTTATTGATAAATACATACAATTATGCGATCTACATGTATGAGAACGATTACAATAAACAACAAATTTGACTCTTCCTCTATTGTATACTAAGGTTCTCTCAGCAATGAGAAAAGAATGCTTACCTTCTGCTACTTTATTCAGTACCTTACCAGTCCCTATCAGAATTTAGGAATTTTTATCACCTGAAGAAGACACTGTTCATTTAATATTTAACTTAAGGGGACTCGCTAGACGAGGTATAACATTTTTTTGGTTTTTTGTATGAAAAAATGATATTAATATAGATGTATCATACATCAAACTGCAGCTTTTTTCATATTCTACAGCGCAGAGACCAGTTCAATCAACTAAAAAAATATGGCTGAGAAATATCGTAAAAAAAGCACCATTGTATGTTTCCTTTTCAAGTTTTTTGAGTCATAACCATCATAGAATCGCTTGAAAATTCGCACATGGATAAAACATCACTTTTTACAGGGCGCAGAGTCATTAAATGTTTGTTAGTGGTACAATTTGTTTAAATAATAATGTGTTTATTAAAATCAAAATGTACCACAAATTAATGCAAAATACGTCGAATAATTTTAACAGGAATATCAGAGGAAAATTAATGATCTATTGGTTAGCAGAGTTTGTAACAAAAACTAAGAATTATTGAAAAAAATGGGTATCAATTCGACAGAATTTTAGCAGTTAGTTCAGTACTTTGCCAATGGGAGCGCCACTAAAATTTACGGAAGCCACTTTCCAGGTAAAACCCTTATCGCCTGCTTTACCATAACCTGATTGTTAGAGTTCTCGGCTGATTCTTCTAATTTATGGCAAGGAACTCAGTTTTATAACAAGCCGCTAGGACCGGCCGTAGTAATCTATTGTTAAGGAAATTAACTTTTACGCAATGAGGTACTGTCATAAAACCGAATTAAAACTGGGGAACTATAATATTTTTACTCCACTCAGGATCCTGAATTCAATACACATGATTACTAAAAATTCATTGTAATATTGTTGTTAATATATATTTTGCTTTCTTAATTAATAAAACTAATAAACATATTTATAATAATAATAAAAAATAAAATACAGCTTTTGTTTAACACGTATAAGTAGCTAAGTGTATCTACTACTTATCCCAGAAAGGTGTTTTAAAAAAGCCGTACGCCTAGTAACTTCTCCCTTCATTGTTTACTCGAAAAAAGTGCTCGTATATGTTTTCATTTGCCGAGAGATCATTTTCAAAATATATTTATAATAAAAATATGCAAGTCTTGGTGATGAAAAATGTACTCCTAATAAATTATTAAAGTACATAAAAAATAGAAACAAATTTTATTTATTTTAAAAAAATCTCTCGCAAAGGCAGGTTCCTCTTTCTTCTTGAATTAATTATTTCGGGCAATAAAGCGCCAAAGCAAAATCTGCCAAGTTTATCTGCCATCTTTTTACATACCTATATTTCTTCGTCTTTATAAATGTTTTCTATATTTATTCCTTTGGGTGTCCATACAACAAAATAAACTTTTGAAATACCCGTAACAAGCATTTGTCTCTGGACTTGAAAGTAGTAGTCATGATTCTTTTTTTAGTTTCAATTCTCTGTCTGTCAATGTACAAAATTTGATTATTTTGTTTCTAACCGCTTCTTCGGGAAACAAATCTTGCGATTTTGAAGGGCATTTAATTTCGACTAATGCACTCCTATCCTCTAGAACCCTGTCTGGACTAGCAGCCAAGTAAGGAAATTATTTTGAAATAAACAAGCCACACCGTTCAGTTTTTATATTTTTATTTATTTCAAAACACTTGACAGCTTTTTCCTCACTTTGCTGTCCATAGTATGTATGACTGTTACCTACATCCATGACAGGATTTTCTACGTAAATTTTTTTACGACATATTTTTTTACGAATACTTTGTCTAAGACGAGCTTGTTTTATAGACGAACAATATTTTTTTGTTATTAAACCAAGCCCGTTTTAATCACAATATATTTACTTATCCCCTCTAAAAAATTGATGACGTCATCTCAAAATTTTGCTGAATAAATTCTATCTAAATTGTATAAAATATGATGAGTCTCTTCTTGTGATTTATCATTCCATTCATGTTTTTTGGATTTGCATATACAGGATGACCCCAAACATTAATGAATGCGTAAATTTATTTTATTGATTTAATCAGGAACTACAGAACCCAATGCTTTGAAATCTTGCAAATGTTTTAAGGTTATAAAGAGCATAATAAATTTTTAGTCAAAATATATTTGCTTATCCGTATAATCCTATTTAAAGTTTACAAAATATGATGAGTCTATTCTTGTAATTTATCATTCCATTCATATTTTTTGGATTCGGATATACAGGGTGACTCAAAAAATTTAATGAATACGCAAATTTATTTTATTGATTTAATCAGGAACTACAAAACCGAATGCTTTGAAATCTAATGTGAAAAAAAAACATAATAGGCATGCAGTCGTCACGTTTCCGATAGCGAGGGAAGTACTGTCTAAACTCTTTAAACCAATTTTTTTGATTTTCCCATTTTTCCATTTCTCAATTTTCGATGTTTCAGTTTGGGATTTTTTCACTGTTTCGATTCTTTAATTTTCCTTCTATTTTTAGGTTTTTCAATATTTCAGCTTTGGAATTTTGCAATATTTCGTCTCTTCAATTTTTCAAATTTTTTATATTGTGTTTTCTCGGTTTTTAAATTTTTCGATATTTTAATTTTTCAGTTTTTAAAGTTTTAGGTTTTTAGATTTCTCACTAACTCGACTTTTCGATTTTTCAGTTCCATGATTTTTCAATTTTTTTAGTTTTCAGGCTTAGATTTTTTTTGTTGTTCAATTCTTGGATTTTTAAAATTTTTGTTTTTTAAATTTTCCTATTTATCAACTTACTGGAATTTCAATGTTTTGATTTTTTGCTTGTTCAATTTCTCGATTTTTTGAATTTTTAGTTTTTGATGCGATTTTTTTTTCAAAAATTTTCAGTTTTTCAATTTATTAACTTTACGATATTTCAGTTTTACGATTTTTAAATTTGTTTATTTTTCAGTTTTCAAATTTTGAGGTTTCTAAATTTTTCGATTTTTCAATTTTTCGATTAACTGATTTTTTGATTTTCCCATTTCTCTATTTCTTGATTTTTCAATTCTTTCTTCAATTGTGATTTTTCAATTTTTCGATTTCTGGATTTTTCAATGTTTCAGTTTTAAATTTTTTCACTTTTCCGGTTCTTCAATTTTCTTTTCATTTTTCAGTTTTTCAAGATTTCAGTTTTGAATTTTTTCACTTTTTCGATTTTTCAATTTTCCTTCCATTTTTCAGTTTTTCAGTATTTCAGTTCTGAGATTTTGCTATGTTTCGTTTCTTCAATTTTTCCATTTTTTGATGTTTCGATTTCTGGGTTTTTCAATTTTTCGATAGGTATTTTAATTTTTCAATTTTTAAGTTCTACATTTTCCGTTAATTTTTTTGTTTTCCTTGATGTTTTGATTTCTCGATTATTCGATTTTTCAAGTTCTCGGTTTAGATTTTTTGGTTTTCCAATTCTTCGATTTTTAAATTGTTTAATTTTTAGATTGTTCAATTTCTCGATTTATAGATTTTTCAGTTTTTCGGTTTACCGATTTTTTTCATTTAAAATGTTTCAATGTTTCAATTATTAAGTTTTCGATTTTTCAATTTTGGTGTAATTTGAAAACTGTATTAATAATACATTTAGGCGAATAAACTAATAGACGGGCTTGATAAGCCTTGTTTGCTCTACAGTGTCTAAATTGTGTTTGAATAATATAATAATTAGAGATGTACCGACTGTAGGTCTGGCCGACTAACCGACTAGCCGATTGTTCGGCCAGTAAAAACCGACTAGTCGGCCGACTGTTCGGCTTTGCTAAAACCGGTTTATAAATGCGACAGTGTGTTTTTTTTTTCTATTTCTCTGACTACCTTAAAAATTTGTTTTATTTTAAAAAGGAATAAATAAAGTTCCTTTGTTTTCCAAAAAATGTGTTAAATTTGTTTGGATAATTTTAACATTTATTTTTTTTTTGTTGTAAGTCAGTACAAAAATAAAGAATAACACAATTTAGGGCCAGTTTATACAATATTTTAACTGAGATTAAGTTGATCGCGCATTTAACAAGGCCATTAGCGACGTCTGATTGGCGTAGAGTCGGTCACATGATACTTTAACGCGGGGTTAAAAATTAAATCGCAATTAAATATGTATTTGAGGTTCTGTAAACCGGGTTTAATTGTTTTATATACTATTTTAATTTCAATAAAAAAAGCCGACCGATCGGCTGTTTAGCCGACTAGTCGCCGACTGCAGCCGACGATGAAAAACGGCCGAATAGTCGGCTTATCCGACCGGTCGGCCACTAGTCGGTACATCCCTAATAAAATTATAAAAATTTGGATACTTTTAAATCAAATTATGTCGCAATGAAAGAAATCGACTTGTAAAAGAGTTTCAACAATGTTGGTCAGCTAAGAGTATTTATGAGTTTTATGACCTAAAGTACCTGAACTGAT